TAAGGCCTCTTTGTTTGCTCTCTCCGGCTCAGGATGAAGACAGACTTTACGCTCAACATGGGCTATCAGGTTCAGCCCTACGGCGATCTGAGGCCTGGCCAGACGAGAGGAGAAGAGGAGGGGTGAAGGAGGAGGAAGAAACACACACAGTCGCCCCGCCACCAGCGTTACCTGATTTCAGTCACACACACGCTCTGACGGGCCGTACTGGGTAACACACAGGACAGAAACATCAGAAATAAGATCTCTGTAAAGGAGCACTTCACAGAAAAGTGAAGAAATCCTCATATCGATAACCTAAAAGGAGAAGTTATGAAGTATATTGCAGCGAACACACTTCAAGAACGACAAAATACCATCATCAAGCTATCATAAAAGACCCCATAATCTCAACAACGTGCTCAGATTTCTAGTCTAATCAAAAGTAAAAAATCTCAGCATGAACTCTAACATTTCTCATCACATTCTCCCAAGAACAAATGCAATGGTAGCACTTTATAATAAGGTTCATAGTTAACTACTTTATTTAACATGAACTAAGAATTAACAATACTTCTACATCATTTATTAATCTTAGTTAATATTAATTTCAACATTTACTAATACGTTACTAAAATCAAAGGTTGTATTTGTTATCATAATGCACCTGTGAACTAACATGAACAGCTGTGTTTTTATTAACTAATATTAACAAAGATTAATAAATACTGCATGTATTTGCTATACAAATGTATTGCTCATTGAAAGTTCATGTTAGTTAATACATTAACTAATGTTAACTCATTAAGATTATTGTAAAGTGTTACCAATACACGTTATACTATTACTACATGACATCCATTGACGCATTTATGTGATTTTCAGCCATTAAAATGTTATAAGTAACAGAAATATGCACAAATGTCAGGGCATGTCAAAATGTCTCCAGGGTCCAGAAATCACCTCAGACTCCAGAGGGACAAACAACTGAGACAAACTTAAATAAAACATAAATGAAAAATCCATTAACTCTGCAATAAACCTCTGAGCAAAAGCAATGTTTTAGGGAGAACAACCCATTTTACTATCATTGAAATACTATTATAGTTTCTATTAATATTTCAATATTTTCTGTTATCATTTAAATTTTAGTTCAAGTTTTAGTAAACTTTGTGTGCTTTTGTCATTTTTATTAGTTTTTATTTTATAAAATATGTATATAGTTTAATATTTTTTACATGTAATTTTATTTTATTTCAGTTAAAATGTATTTGAATGTTTTTTTTGTGGTTATAGTTTTAGTTACTATAATAACCCTGCGTCAAACCACATCTCTCTCATTACTCCGTCTCGGTTTGTCGGGTGTTTCCGGACACTGGGAAGCTTTTGTTTGGGATGAACGCCGCAGAACAGAGACCGGATACTGCGACAATCAGAAGACCTGGAGTGAAGCGGTTCAGCTCACCCTGAGCTCGAGCCCGAGGCACATTCACGCGCAGATGAGATCTCTGCCGAACCCCAGAGTGAAACTCAGAGAAGCCGTAGCCCGCAGCCACTCCGTGACCCCCTTAGAAAAGTCACATTCACTTTGCTCTGGAGAAAGCAGAGAAAACGCCCCAGGGCGGCACGCCGAAATGAGGGGAGGTGAAAATAAAGTGAAAATAAGTTAAGATTCTTCCCTCCATCTATCCTGCACTTCTCTTCTCTTCTTTCGTGATCATGAGAGGTGGTCAGATGGGCGGCATTCCTATGGAAAACCCTACATTTAAACAGAAACCAGCCGAGACCAATAGCAAAACCATCATGGTACTGGTATCAGATGGTGATTAGACATGTACTACGGCACTGAATCATTATTATATTCATAATGCCCTTTAGCTGCGACTATATACATTACCATTCAAAAGATGGGGTCAGTAAGATAATAAATAAATAAATAAATAAATAAAACTTTTATTCAGCACGATGCCTTTGATTGATTAGAGGTGACAGTAAAGACATTTATAATGTTGCAAAAGATTTATATTTTAATTCAATTCTTTCTATTCAACAAAGAATCCGGGGGGATCACGGTTTAACTGTTTTCAACATTGATAATAACAATACATGTTTCTTGAGCAGCAAATCATCATATTCGAGTGATTTCTGAAGGATCATGTGACACTGAAGACTGGAGTAATGATGCTGAAAATACAGCTTTGATCACAGGAATATATTACACTTTACTATATATTCACATTGAAAACAGCCATTTTAAATTGTAATATTATTTCACATTTTTACTGTTTTTACGTTTTATTTATCAAATAAATGCAGCCTTGGTGAGAACAAGACACTTTTTTCAAAAACATTTTAAAAATCTTACCACTCCAAACTTTTGAACGGTAGTATGCATAAATATTTAGAGTATATCCTGATTAATTTATTAATGCTGCTTGCCAAGTTTAGATATTTACTGGAAGACAAGACATAAATACAGATTCTTTGTGATTTATTTGCAGTGTGTTGTCAATTGGCGGCACCAGCGATTATTAGATGTGCCATATTAAAAACAAAGATGAAATCAATTATTCTAGGTTTCACATCAGCAAATATTTGATCAATTGCAGAGATCTGTTTTTAATTTGACATAAGCAGTCTTTTTCTGTTCATAAGTGGCAAAATAGTCAAATTAAGGCGACTTTAATGCGGTAAAACAACAGTGAAGTGTGAATACGACTCTCAAGCGCTGTATCTGTGTGTGTACATACACATTTCATGGTTCTTCTTGACATCAGAGCGCTTACAATAAAGTGAAAGAGGTCAGGATGGTGTTCATGGAGCAGAAGTAACGCGTTTATTTAGTTAGCCCTGCTTTCACTGCAGGATCTTCTGTCCTCAGCAAACACACACACACACATATGCCAGTGAGAGGGTTTTTAAAAACACCAGCTGACATTCACAAAGTGTTTTTTTTCCGGTTTATCGTATTCAAACATTAGTCGAAATCCTTGAGGGAATATGAACAGGCCTTCTGACGGCAAGAGCAAAGCTAAACATTCACCAGATGCAGTTAAACCCAATGACTTCATGTACAACACCATGTCGAGGAAATATAATAGTGCGCGCGGCGTAATCCTGCGTAATGCAGAGCAGAGCTGGTAGCCATATGTGGAGCGGCATCCAAACAACAGTGTAACACACTCACAGAGGACCGGCGTGCAGTGTGTCCCAGTTAATGCTGTGTGGGGGAATCTGGAGAAATGTTTATGTTTGCTCAGGAAAAAGACCAATGCTCGCTCACGATGCAACAAGTGAACACTAAACCCTGCAGCGATACCCGAGAGCACGACATCAAATTACAAACACTGCATCATGATCAGCGTAAGATCCACTAAAGGCTGGTCGATACAACAACAAAAAATTCACTGTAAGAAAAAAAAAGAGAGATTTTCTTACTTACTATTTTTGTCTTGTTTTCCAGTAGAAGTATCCAAACATTATTAAATCAAGATACATTTACTTGAGGAGCTAAATTACATAAAATATTATGTCTTGTTTACTGAATAATTGATCAAAACTAAGTGAGTTTTTGCTTAAATCAAGAAAATATATCTGCCAATGAGGTCGGAAAAATAAAAATGTTTTCCCTTTGAATTTGGCAGAACTTTTTTCTTGTTTTAATGATTTATTTTTATTTATTTTTAGAAAATAAGACTTAACATCTTCTGTAATTTTGCTTCTACAGTAAATGCATCTTGATTTAAGAATGTTTAGATATTTGTACTGGAAAACGAGACTGTTTCTGACACTATTCAATATATATTGATATTTACGCATTTGCTTTGAAATAGCTGAAAATTAAAAAACATTTTGCTCAATCTGAGATCATTTCAACCAAGCCAAATAATGTAAGAATGAAAATACTGTAAAAATCTAGTTAAAAATAATTTCACACATTTTCCCACACTGTTTCTGGAAAGTACGTAATAATCACAACGTTGCTTAATTTTATATCTGTGTTTTCACTGTTATACGCTAGGGGGCGCTATTAAGCATCTTCTGAAAGATTACTGAATCTCCTGATCAAAACACAGGAGAAGAAGAAGCAGAAACAAGCGATAGCATATGTAATCAGATGCATATGTAAAATAACGCGTTCATTAACATTAAACCGGATATAAATCAAAACTGCCTAATGTTACAGAGTGAAATGTCGACTCAGGACGAGTTACAGGACTGAAGCTTTGAGTGTGTTCATGGACTCGATCGACTCCTTCTGTGTTTTGATCATCGTCCTGAATCTGAAACAGACGTAGTCTTTGACAAAAACACGATTTTCTCAGCTTTTTGTTCAAAATGTTGCTTTTTTATTAAACTTACCCACATTCAAGTACTGTTGATAAAAAAAAGCTAAAATAAAATGGGTTTTTGTTTAAAAGAGGTTCTGTTCTTTCTTTTGATATACAGTATATTGCATGTTCAGATACTCATACAACAAAATATTGCAAAACTTTTTTTCAGATACGCTGGTGGGGAAAGAGTTAATATACACTGAACAAAATTATAAACGCAACAATTTTGTTTTTGACCCCATTTTTCATGAGCTGAACTCTTTTCTATGTACACAAAAGGCCTATTTATCTCAAATATTGTTCACAAATCTGTCTAAATCTGTATTAGTGAGCACTTCTCCTTAGCCGAGATAATCCATACAGTAAAACTGCACATTTTAGAGTGGTCTTTTATTGTGGGCAGCCCTAAGGCACACCTGTGCAATAATCGTGCTGTCTAATCAGCATCTTGATATGTCACACCGGTGAGGTGGATGGATGATCTCGGCTCACTAACACAGATTTAGACAGATTTGTGAACAATATTTGAGTGAAACAGGCCTTTTGTGTACATAGAAAAAGTCTTAGATCTTTGAGTTCAGCTCATGAAAAATGGGGGAAAAAACAAAAGTGTTACGTTTATAATTTTGTTCAGTGTATATGGGAGGATTAGTGCTAACTGAATAATGCCATATGGAGAGGTTGTAC